GCGGGGCTCGATCCCAGGACCCTGGGATCGAGCCCCGCATCGGGCTCTCTGCTCAGCGGGGAGCCTGCTTCCTCCTCTCTCTCTGCCTGCCTCTCTGCCTACTTGTGATCTCTGTCAAATAAATAAATAAAATCTTTAAAAAAAAAAAAAGTATAACCTCATGAGAGGTTTGCTTTATCTGATGAGAAAACATCAGATAAAGCAAAATCAAAGGACATTCTACAAAACAGTTGCTATTACTCTTCAAAGTATAAACATCAGTAAAGAATTTTTAATAAGGACCAGAGAATGGTTACAGATTAGAGGGGACCAAGAAAACGGGACAAATAAATGTAATGTGAGACTCTAGAGATACCAGACCACAAAAAGACCCTTAGTGGGAAAACTGGCGAAATCTGAATAAAGTCTCTAGATCAGTTAATGGTATGGTACCAACCTTAAGTTCTTAGTTTCATCAACTGTGCTGAGTTAATGTAGAATGTGTCATTCAGGATAAAGGAAACTATACTACTCTTGTGATGAAAAATTCTATCTCATGGATCGTTCTATTCAGTTTTGTGATATCAAATTCTCTCTGGACCACAATTGTATGGTCTGAACCACGACCACTAGTTTGGCTGTAAGGAGATACTTATCACTTATTTAAATCGCTTTACAAAAAAGAACGTCCCATTCCTGATAAGACCCACTCCAGCACTCTATCATTTTACATAAAGTACATGCTTGGGCATGTGCATATGGGTGTCCATTCCTGCGAAAATTGTCCCTCTTTCATGTTGTAGATAACACGAGCTCAGATCAAATACCCTCATGCAGCTATCTGCTCAGATATATGTACATAATGATATGTACATATGAGGACTCTGGGTGATTCTGGAGTCCTGCAACAGCCAGTTTTTAAAAAGTATCACTCAGGGGTGCCTGGGTGGCTTAGTGGGTTAAGCCTCTGCCTTTGGCTCGGGTCATGATCTCAGGGTCCTGGGATCGAGCCCCGCATGGGGCTCTCTGCTCAGCAGGGAGCCTGCTTCCCCCTCTCTCTCTGCCTGCCCCTCTGCCTACTTGTGATCTCTCTCTCTCTGTCAAATTAAAAAAAAAAAAAAGTATCACTCAAAGCAATCGGTCTCCCTTACATCCTTTTTTTTTTTTTTTTTTTTAGAATAGGGAAAAGCAAGGCGGAGTGTTGGTGTTGTAGGTAAATAGAGAAATAAATTGTGATTTTGTATAGATTATCTCATTTGAACCTCGTAATAGCTTCCAGAGCTCAGCAAATGTGTAACAGATGAGGGGCCCAGGGTGAAGGAAAGGGGGATGGCTGGTTGAGGTTGCCAAGATGCTAACTTGGGGTCTCAGACTCGAATCCAGAAATTCCGACTCTAAGTTCATGGAGCGTAGTAATGACTGGCGTCCATAACTCCATTTCCCAAGTGGGCACATTGAGTCTGTGACAATAAGGAGTAGGACTTCTCCTGCACAAGGCTGGTCTCTGGAGCAGTGTAACGTCCACTTCTACGCTACTTTTCTTTTACCATCAAATGCACTCTCTTAATTGTTCTTTTATGAAAGTTTTTGCTGTGGATCGTTTCTCAGGCTACAGTGCGACCTGAGCAGCACAGTCATTCCTTCCCAGGTAGCCTGCACCTGAGTCTGCATGTCAAGAATGTACTTACACAGCTGGCGGCCGCTGGTATTAAAACAGCCCTTAGAAACCATAGCAACTGATCAAACCCACCTGAGGCATCTCCTTCCCATCACCCTCCTATCTTGTCTCCCCCAATAGAACAGAGCAGTCCCATATGGTTTCCCTTTTCTCCTGGCCTGCCGCAACGCCTGCCGCTATTTCTAAAACCACTGCCTTTCAGACCTCTTTTAGTCCTGAGTAGCTGTCTCCGATAAAATGGAACTGTCACGTTAAACCACTTACTTCTGGTAGAAGAGGTCCAGGTAAGCAAGATTTAGAACTTTTGCTGGTAGCCTGAATCATAAAAGAGAAGCTTCATTTATAGTGATAACGGAAACAGCGATTTATAGTTACATAGAAGGACAACATAACATCTTTGCAAACAAATGTGCTTGGGAACAGGACAAACATCCACAGTGCCCACTCACACTAGGGTACCCCTGACAGGGCACCCTCTGCATCCAGGCAATATGAAGCATCACAGAAGTTCTTTCCAAAGAAGCCACAATTTGTATTTGATCAAAGGTATCTACTACCATCATGCTCATGAACAAAGCAACTGCCGAAAGAAGCAAGTTGACGTTCTTATATAACATCATGGGTCTGCAAGCTCAATGGTAGGAATGGCTATCGGTTTTAGCACAGCCATGGATAAACTGGTTGAATGGGACTTGGAAGTCACCAAAAAAAGGCAGGCCTGGGTTCTTTCTTCCTGAAGATCTCAGTGACAGAGATAAGCATGCTCTGGTGCAGTGATTCTCAAAACAGTGGCTTGGGACTCCTGTGTTAAAGCAAGAATTTCCATAAGGGGTCTATATGCTATTAAAAAGGACCAGTCTGCAAATAATTGAGAGTAATCATTTAGAAGACTTCAAGACAATGTGATGCCTACTGCAGCAATGAAAAGCGTGATGATTTTTTTAAATGAATTTCTTTTTATTTTATTTAACTTAAGTAGTGGCTCAAAAGTGATGGGGGGAGTTGAGGGGTGGGGAACTAGTCCTTCCTCACAGAAAATTTGAGAAGTACAGATCTAAAATCTTGGCCCCCATGCCATGTCAAATAAACTTTACCAGAGTGAATAAGAGCTATAAAAAGAATTAGGCTTTATCACAGAATAAACATTAATAAAACAAAAATTCAGTCTGGTAGACCAATATGAATGTCCTGACTGGTGACCAACCCATAATGGGACATGGGTCTTGTGCAGGAATAATAAATCACAGCAGAGTAACAGGACTCAACTTTTGTTCTTCCCATTCCATCTTACAGTCGGTGAGTCAACTCCTTAAGGCTTTCCCATTTATAACCAGAGTTCAGTGACCTTTAAACTTTTACATTGGGAATTGTTATTTACAAAATGAGGATAATAAGATTTACCCAGGTAAGTGAAATGCAAGGTATTATTATAAGTATTGATTTCTTGTGAAATAACCAGCTATACTATTAATTAAAAGATGAGTAAGACCAAATAATACTAACTTATAAACCAGTTTTACTGGGTTCAGAAAAAGTATAAAACACATAAAATATTTGCATATAACTATTTTAAATGAAAAGACTTCGTTTTATTATTTTGCTGAAACTGGTGATCATCACTCAGTAGAAATCTGGCACCTGGTTCTATATGGCTCTGCAGAGTGCTTTTAAAAAAATTTTTTTTTGTAGTAGAATCAATTGTCCTGGTTTTATAACTGTATAAAACTATTTGTCAATAGTTTTACTTAAGCCCTTTCTTCACGTTAAAACACAGTGTATGACCCATAGTTTTAAGATCAAAGTAAGGTTGGTTGGTTTCTCTTACCTAAG